TCAAATTAGATGATGGAGATTCGAACCAGCACCGGACATCCCATGACTAATCTTTAAACACAGCTCCACCAACGAACTGGTGGTGATTATTAGTCATGGTTTGATACAAAAATCTATAAAACCTTTTAAATGTGTAAAACCTTGATATTATCTAATTTTATCTGATTTTACAATTTTAGTACAATTTTATGATTTTACTATTCGAGTTTACATAATCCTGATTTTAACTCCGATTTTACAAGAATTACATAGGTGAAATCGTAAAATCAAGTTAAATCATGATTTTGACAACCATAATTATAAAGACTATATTTTAAAGAACATTAAAAAGATTAAAAAAAATTTCCTAAAGTTACTTCCATGAGATACGAACACTTAACCTCTTACCTCTCTAGAACAACTTTTCCACTTGATATGTACCTAGTTTAATGACTTATAATGCTTTGAGATTTATTTATTATAATAAAATTACATAAACGAATAAATTTGACACACTTAATATTCGAACTCAAGTTTTATGTGAAATTAATAAAGACTTCCAGCCACCGGAGCTACTTCTAATATTTTGAAATGTGTTGCATTATATTATATTTAATATATATCAACAAAATTCAATCAAGCTAGTTTTTTTACTGGTCAAATTGGTTCAACCACTAAAATCATGAACCAAAGATCAAAACGGTTTGACTTCTGGTTCGATTTTAAAAACAATGCTCCCAATACTAACTCATGTTTTTTTATGAGAAAGGGCTCTATAATTTTAAAATTTTAAAACAAAAAGTGCACTTAATATACTTTTTCTATATCAAGATAAAAATATACTTTTTATATTAATTAGTATTTAAAAAACTAAAAATTGACATTTATTTACTCATCTATACCATTAAAATAATCTACATAAAATTAATAGTGAAATTAGTATAATTTTTGTATTTCAATATCATTTACTATTAAAAAGTATATTAATTAATTACCCCTATTAAGGAATAAATTGTAAAACTCAATGCTCATTTATTGATGAACACTTTTTTCTCATATATTAGAACTCCATTTAGAACTTAAATATTATTGCAATTGGTTCTTTTTATTTATTTCACATGGAACTGGAGGTCAACGGCCAACAATAGGAGGCAGAGGGTATCATGATATATGACCCATGAAATAATGCAAAGTAATGTGGCTTGTCTTTGCAAAAGTTGTCAACGCCTCCTTAACTTTGCTTCAAGATCCAACCTAACATTTCCAAGGCATGCAGTTGTGTGAAGATGAGACAAGAAGATGTCGGTGCATTAGGGCATAGAAAATTGCAAACCTCATATTTTTAATTACAAAAAAACATAAAGAATAAGAGATGGAAGTCTATGTTTTCTTTCTATATAAGGAGACATGCACTTCTCATATTCATTCCATTCCTAAATTATATCAATATCATCATCGAAACAAGTTCCATTCATTACAGGCTGCAAATAGGATTGATTTCTCTCTCGAAAATGACAGTATGCAAAATCATTCTCTTCCTTATAAGCGATTTAGAATTTATTACAATGATTCCTTTTATTCAAATTTTATGAAATTAAGTCCTCTTTACTGCCAATGTTTCTCGCAGTGTAATTGGGCTTGTAGAAATTATAAAATCATCAGTACAATCTTAGATATATGAATTGTTTCATTGATTAGAGTTGCAATTGATTATTAGCAGCAAATGACTTGCTACTTTTGTGTATATAAGAATTTTATTAGATAAATAAAATTTTATTTTATAAAAAAAAAAA